AACCACAATTTCTAATAGTCAGAAAACTCGTTCTCGGCTCTTTCTATCCAGGACATTGGGAATATTAACGGTCTGCCTTCTTTTTAGTTTGGTACGGGCAGTTAAACCGGGCATCCTGATGAACCCCAAGTTTAATAGGAACTTTGGGTTATATGGGCACAAAGCATCGATTGAGGCAAAAATTTTACCGAATGTTCGGTTCTTTGTCGTAGGCTGACCACACTTGCGGCTTTTGACTTCGACAGTTCACCCACTCATTGAGGCAGTACAGCCATCCCCATAAATCATCAACTCGACCCTAAAAGTGACAGCTGTAATGAAGTGATATACAACTGCTCTAAGGCGCAGACCATTGAAGACAATGTCCTTGTGGACTTAAGGTGTCTTGTTTCCAAATGAGATTCCTATCTTGTTTCCAAATGAACACCCTCTATTCTCAAAATCCTAAGATTTCTGCAAAAACGGACCTGATCTCGACCGGTTTCTGCATTTAAACTGCTCCATTCCTCCGTGCCTCTCATGCCAGCATGAGAACGAGGTGGTCGGTGTTGGCCATTTTCATCCAGATACGCCCGTGCCATACCCATATCGTACATGACCACGATATTATTCTGTAAGCACAAACTTGGTCAGGAATGAAATACCGAAAAGGTTCGATGCAGGTGTTTCTACTGGGTAGAGATCGAGTATAACCGACTGAATTGATTCACAAGGAATTTTTTTCGTGTCCAGCTGACCTCTCCCCCCTACTGCCCTCACCTCCGCCTTCCCCCTCCTACTCTTCCACCCCATCTACCTCCCTCGCTCCTACCCCATTTGTTGGGGATAATACCCACCCAGAACTTCTCCCATGTGACTATTCTTCACGGAACCCTCATCTATGCACACTGAAATATCTATTTGTGTCTCCCACAGTTCTGTGTTGTATCTTGTTGTATTACTTGGATTAAGGTAAGCGGCAAACCCTTGATTCTCATCACGGAGGGCAAGATGACCGAGGTGAGTTCGAGATGGAGAGCTGATGTCTCTAGAGAGCAGCTGAGTGGGATCGTGGTGGTTTTTTGGGATGTCACCTTCGTCAACGCAGTCCCGTTGACAAGAACTCGAACGATTTGTAAGGATGGAGGGCTTACTTCGTACATTCCGACGTTTTCGGGCTTGATGTCACGATGGATAAAGCCACATTGATGCATGTCGTAGATTGCCTGAATTTTTTGACATTAAGAGGCGGTATCTGTCTTGTTGATTTATTGAGGAAACACCTAAGCCAAATTCCCCACAAGGTTGGTATACATCATACCTTTGGCATGAGTAATTCCAACAAATGGTTATCCTAGGTGGACTAAAGGATGTAGGGTGGTCACTGCCCGCCTAATAGGGCGAAATACTCAGCTCATTTTGTACTGTAGGCATGTGCATGGAGCACCCAAAAGGCTGATGAATATTTTTGATAAGTTTGCTAACCTTCAGCAGTTGTAAGCCGTACTCGATGATTTTCAATGTCTGCTCTTCTCCTTGAAGATTTCCAATGATTGGTACCGGATTTCCGGGTAAACATTCCATTAGCACGTACGCGAGTTCAGCAGTCTAAGTATACGGTAATTGGAGCACACAGGTTGGAAAACGGGTGGCATAAGGTCAGGCCGGTCATGCTCAAGGTTTGCCATTCCGCTCTCATACACGGGGCATGGGTAAGGTTCCGGCCTAACTCGACCTACTGGCACACATTCAAATGCTTTGATTGAATCATTATCAGGAGTGGATCTCGAAGGACCCTACACCTCTCCCCGGTATCCTCTCCCCGAGCGGCGCGTCGCGCTCGCCGCACTCGATCGCGCGCTATGGAGGTAAATTTAAACTCCCAGTGGAAGGATACGGCAGCCGCCGGGGAACCACTGCCGCTGACCGTGGGAATTCGGAAAGAGTATCGTCACCCCCATTCGACCAATTTGAAACTTAATGGAGTTGGCAGATCGGGAGGCAGCACGGAAACCAGATACTGTTCTTGTCCGTCTCTGATTTTTCTTTCGAAGCTCGACCTCTGCATTGAAGCATTTATTAGGCAGTATCGATTACAGGGATGAGAAAGGGAGGCGATCAATATTACATGCTGCACTGCTACGTAAGAATACGGTATTGGACGCTTCTTGCTCATGGAAGTCGAGCTGTCGAGAAGTACTTGAGCATCAGAAAGTAACTCTACCTTTGCTCCTATAGTAACTTGAGCAGTACCACTTCCCAGTTTTCGAACTAAATGCACGGTACGGTCTTCAGCATTGTGCCTTCCGATCTAAATGTCGAGACTTGAATCGGGCAAAATAGCAAAAAAAAAAAAATAAAACATGGGTTCATTTCTTAAAATTGAAAATATGATAGCTCGAAATTCATATTACTACGTGTTATTCAAACTCAAATTCACAAATGAGTAACTTATTATGTAAAATTGGAATTTGAAAAGATACACAGCCAAGGGCCAACAATGAGGTTGGTGTAGGAACGGTAAGTGTTGCAATCGTAAGTGTATAAAGAACTGGTTCTCTTGTTCCATTTTTAGCCCTCCATAAAGACCAAACAGGGAGGTGGGTGACTGGTACGATAGGGTGAGGTTTTGGTAACCGAAAAGCGCGCCGCGCTTCTAGCACCCGCCACGTGTCAGAGCAAGTAGTTAGTAGGGCAGAACTTGGATTTCCTATGCGCATTCACTGTAACTATCATGAAACCGTGTAGAAAGTCGGGACGAAGTTCGCTCACCCACGTAGATCGGAACCAAAAACCCGGGCAGAGTTTTTTTTCACTCTAGTGTTGCGTGTATAGCTAACTTGTAGGTGTATAGGTAGCTTAATTAATGGTGGTTTAGGAGCAGGTACCTTCCCAAATTGAATGAATTAGGTTGTTGTAGCAGAAGAAGTCTTAGTTGATAAATATCCGTAAAAGTTCACTGACAATTCGATCCATCACAAGACTTTCCCATTCGAGACTTGACGCTGCATAAGTCGATAGAGCTAACTTCATTACCGCTTTTGTTGAACCTTTCTTACACATTAGTACAATTCCATTTGCTCCTGAATTCCGTGTTAGTCAATCGAGACAAGAGAAAATGGCTTTCTCGTCTTTTTTGAGGTTCCTCTAGCTAATTCTATTCAACGAATGGCCCTTAATCATTTCCATCTGGAGCGCAATGGGCGTGGTAAGTGGGCGGAGAGTTAGGTCGCACGCGTGGACCGCTTGTCTCAGTTTTCACAGTACAGCAGACTCCATAACCAATGCATAACTCACCGCTTCCTAGGGAACTCTCAATAGACCATCCGTCAATGACTTTTCCTTTCAGGGCTGCCTCAACTTCATCTGGTTCAAAGCTATAATACGACTTACTTATTATACTGCCCACGAGTGGAGGCTAAGAAAGTCTCTCAGGTTTCTTGCAAAACCGTAGATCACATGGTTAGAACGCTGCGGCAGCAAAGAGAATCTGTCGTGAATGTGATTGGGGTGGAGCGTTCTACTGCGTTTTGTGTCTCTAATGCTAAGCGCCAGAGCGCAGATAAGGATGGGACGCCGGACGGTTACTGTATCGCACGTTAACGGGAATTTAAAATCTGACTTGCGATTTCTAGCTAAAGAGATGAAATTTTTGTCTCATTTCAAGGAAGGACGATATGTCGGAATAGGTGAGATGCTTGCTGACTTTGTGCAAAAAGTCGAAGTGGGAAAGAAATTGACTAGTGGTTCAAAGGCTGAAGGGATTTTTCTGCGGCCAATGTAACCGGCAAATGATAGAAATCCTTCATACCTCATCCTGTTACAGCTACAATACTGCGGAGAAATGAGACCTACCCTTTCTTATAAACAAATGATATTGTTATCAACAAAACATTGTGGGGTCTACCAATCGGAGCTAGCATTGTGACCATACTTCGATTATACTCAATTCCATAGGGGATCAATAATCCGCGGTGTGTTCATGCTTCGCTCCACTCGCTCGGACAAACGAAGCCTTTTTTGAATCCCGACTTCGATTTGTATTC